TCTGTGATTCTGTGATTCTGTGAAGTACCCAGAGGTGCTCAGCAGGCTAGTGAGAGAGATGGAAGATCCCAGTCTCAGTGCTCCTGATGCAGTGCTGTAATCTTCTGGTAATGAAAATCACGTTTCCTGGCCCCAGCAGAGGTGGAATCAGATACACATGCTGAGATTTGGATATTTTTCCAGGTTTCTTGAACTTCATTGAGATTAATAACTTCTGCACTGGATTGAATTTGCTGCATCTGAGTTTGATGCACTGTGGAAAGTTCTTCAGTGACTCCTCAGGGCTCTGAAGTTCAGTTTATGTATCACAGGACAAGGCTTTTTTTGCTGGGTGCTCACTTCTTTACCTCTGGCCGTGACTTCGCAGCAGTTGTGGTTTTTATCCTCTTTGCCATGGGATAATTCTCAAGAGCCTGGGGCTGTGTGGTTGGATAGAGACAGAGCAAGTTTGTTACTGCTACAGACTGATTCTGCTTGTACTATTGCTGTTCCAAAGCCGATGTGAACTTCTTTAGCAGTTTTTTACTGTTCAAACTATGCTGTTCTGGTGGTCTATGACTTTCATGATCTGGGATTCTGTCAACCACGTCAAAATTCCATTGCATCGAGCTGTCAGGGCTGACTAGCTCTCATATGTTGTTACTTATCGAGGTGGAGAAATTGAATTTCAGGAGATACCAATGGTACCGCAGTTATTTTGACTACCAGAACAGAGTTGACTGATCAGAAGCATTAAAATGCTTTCCTCTTATTTATCTCTTTCCATTTCTTTCCTCATCTATGTCCCTCTTCCCTCTCCCTCCCTCCTCCCCCACCACTTTTTTTTTTTTTTTTACTTTTCCTGGCTTGCGGTGTTTAACTACGTGATGGTATGAAAGAGATTGATTAGCAACTCTGGATATCCCTTGAATATACCTAGCAGTTCTCCTTGTGCATAAATATTATTTAACTTGTCAAAACGACTTGAAAGTTTTTCCTGCGGTTTTATCTGCTAAATCAGCATTCAGGAGAGCTGAGCTGCAGACTGCTAGGAGAGGGAAGAATCCAGTCTGCCCTTCAATGGTTCTTAGTGAGGAGATCGGCTTGTGCTGAGGGCAGAGTTCATGCAATGAAAATGTTTCTCCACTGACACACAAATTCATCTTACCTTTACTGGAACGTTAGCAAATGCCACTCTCCTTTTATTTCTTGGCTGGATTGCTAAGAGTGGAGCAGCCCAACTAAAGCAGATTCACACTTTTTTTTTTTAAATACAAAGTTTTTAAGTACTTGTTGAATTGTTCATGGTAGAGTGAACAAATAAACCACAGTGAAAATATATGAAGAGTGGTTTAAGAATGAAGAGAAGGCTTAAAATCAAGTATTCAAATGCTAAATCTCCTGTCTAAATTGTATAGTTAAAGCACACACATTCCAATATGTTTGTTAGACTACAGAGCTTTTCTCTAGTACTGAGAGTTTCATGTGAACATATTCTCTCTAACCAGTTTGCTCCCAACCATCCAATATAAAGCCAAAGCAGTAATGTTCAGGTTTTGCAAACCTAATGGAACCACCACGTCCATGAGGCTCTGTTTGCATTCAGCAAAGGCTGCATCAAGAGCTGGGGTGCTCCTGCCTGACAGCCCACACGCATCAAGTGCTCATAGAGACTACAGAAAAACCAGGGTCTGCTGTAATGGATTTAAACACTCTGCAGGATATCTAAGTGCATTAAAGATGCTCTGAGATTGAATGTAGGGAATAACAGAATTTTGCAAGAAGCAGTTTTTAGGGAAGCCGCAGCCCTCTGAAGTGAGGTGGTGTCCTGTTCCTCTGTTGGTTTCACTTTGCAGCATTTTCAGCTTTTCCATTGCCCATCTGGAAGAAATATTTGATTAGACTGTGTTGTTTGAATCCAAGTAAGATGAAGATACAATATTTTTTTTGAATGATAGCTCCTACCAGTCCCTGACTGCCTGTCAACCTCTTTCCAATAATATTTGGAGTTGATCAGTACTTTTGAATCCTTAGGGAATTAAATCATTCAATCAATAGGGCATTTTTTCACCTGTACTTGGTATAATTACTTTAACCACTTAATCTGATATGGCATCACTCCTAGGCAGGGTTACATCCATGTCCTATGTAGTGTGCACACAGACATGTTTTAAGCAGGACTGTCTGAAAATCATCAGCAATTACCATCCAGCTATTGCAATACCTGTGTTATCTTTCAGATCACATTCCTTTGAATTTGTAATAACAAAATTGTGTTAGACCTCAGTATCCCAAGTTAACAGCACTTAAACATTCTCATTTAAGCCTCCAAGTTTAAACATTATTTGCTCCTGGCAGGACACTAATGCTGAGTGTACTAGGTTTCCTTTATCTGAATTTGGCTAATTTCAGACCATCACACTCTGCTTACTCTATTCTAATTCTGTTTCTGTAAGATGAGGAATACATTGGGTCAGGAAGTACCTGGGGGGGATTTTAAGTATACAACGTTTGATCTTTGTGGTCAGATACAGTAAAAGGCAAATTTAAGAATACTGAAAAACATGGTAAATGGTGCCTTACACATTCTAAAAAATCTCAGTGAAATTTATTGCTATGGCCTTAAATTACTTTAGCTTTTCAGGAAAGAATCAATTAAATATTATGCTAACTTGGTAGCTTTGGATAGTGGGTGACATTGCAAAATATAGTATCACTTGTAATTTCTTCTTTTTTTTATTTTGACTGTTTTTAGGAAAAAATATAAAGAAGCCCCCAAAATCCTATCTAATTCATGCTGGCCTAGAGCCTCTGACCTTCACTAATATGTTCCCAAGCTGGGAACACAGGGAAGACATCGCAGAGATCACAGAAATGGTAAACCTTGTCGTTGCACAGGCTGTTTCCTACTGCTAGTGGTTGTGTCTTGTGTTGTCAGTAACGTTGCTTATTTGTGCTGTCAAGCCCCAAAACCCAGAGGATGAACTTAAAAATTACAGTCCAGGAAAAAAATAACAACATAGCTAAATTCTGACTGGGAGTGTAGATACCAGAGGCACTTCTGGTTGCTTTTTCGTGTAACTTCTCGTATTCTTTTCTGGTAAAAAACAGGAGGGAAGTGTTACCTGAAGCATCTCTCAGAAAGAGAGATGCTGGGGCTTAGCTGAACAACTGTTTCAGTTCTGTGAAACAGGCAGCAGTGTGCAGTTCTGCTCTGTCCTCCAGGCTCGAAGTGCAGCGGAGAAAACTGTCCTGCAAGGAATCAGCTGGCTCCAAAAACTCCAGCATTGACTTCCCAGCTGGGAAGCAGAGTCACAGCCGAATTATGTGTGACTGCTTTAAAAGTCTTCAGCAAGGGGCATCTCAAGGCAAATTACATTTCTGCTTTGTAAGTCTCCTGCAGCTGTCCTTAGTGGCAAATGCTGGCTTCATGGCTAAACACAGAATTTAGCCTTAAACTGAGATTCTGAGAGCCCTTCTGCTAAATACAGATCTTTTTTTAGCTGTGATGTTATAGGGCACGGCTGTTTGCCTGCACAGACCTGAATGTAGCTTCGTGCTCCAGGCAGCACAGGCTGACCCCGTGCCACCCATGGACTGCAATGGGAGCCACTGGTGGTTTCACCATTGTGATCCTCCTCTGTTTTCCTTTTCTCCGGACAGGATGCTGACGTTTCTAATCAGATAATCCTTGTAGAGGACGTGCTGGCCAAGCTGTGTAAAACAGTGTATCCACTAGCAGATCTCTTAGCAAGGCCTCTACCTGAGGGAGTTGATCCCCTGAAGCTTGAAATTTATCTTTCAGATGAAGACTTTGAGGTAAGGAGAGAACGGGTGCGCTGTTACTCTCTGCACATGCATCTAACTGTGCTGTGAAGTCATTTGACAGGCCACTTACAAGTGTTTTTACTAATGGCACATCCTCTCATTTTAAATGCAGGTTGCATTAGAGATAACGAGAGATGAGTACAATGCACTGCCATCTTGGAAGCAGGTTAATCTGAAGAAGGCAAAAGGACTTTTCTAAGTTGTGTTTATTGGAGTGAACACTAAAGGGATGTCTGTTTTCACTTTCTGTGCCCTTTAGAAGAATTGTACCCCACATTTACAAAATAAATAGAAATAATCTGAAGTTATTGGTGACTACCTATCTGAAGGTGTGTAATATTATGAAAGGCCAAGAGAACTCTTTGGAAATGGAATTCAGTTTTGACTCCTAAAGGTAACGTGTGTAAGTTCTGCTCTCCTATGCACTTAAACAGTAGTTACTGGAGCTACTGCAGCAGGTGTCCTTTGGCTATAAACAATACTTGCCATTTTTGTTTTTGAAGAAGTTGTCTTTGTAAAGTGTTATTTTGTTAGTTTGTGGATTACAAAGAATTTATATTTATATAAACACATAGAACAAGTATGTATTTAACAATGCAATATATATTCACTTTCAAGACTTTCATGTCAAAACCACAGAAAAGTAGCTGGATGGCAGTTGCTTGTACTGAATTAGCTGTACCACCAATATGTATCTCCTACGCATTCTGAAAAGTTTCTCTTTGCAATAGTTAATGAATTGTTCTCAGTGCTGCTTCAGGTGCTAAACTGAACAAAGCATTTGTATTTATAGCATGGATTTCTTGAGAAACTATGCGAATCAACCTTTATACTTTATTATCCAAAAATGTATAGTGCCTTGTTTTTTGTGTACAGTTTATATACAAAAAAAAGATCAGTCTGCATTTTGAAGATGGCTTAGAATGGTCTCCTATGTTACTTTTATAATAGTAGAAATAAAAACATCTCAGTTTCTAATACTTGTTGTAAACATTAAACATGTCTTTTGTGATATAAGAACCGAAAGTAAAAGCTTCTGAATAAACTCTTAGCGATGCTCTGACTTGTCATTATTTTGTACTGTAATCTACTAAGTCATTGGAAACTTCCATAACATGGTATTTTATCAAAATATTTAACCTTGTTAATCTTGTTGTACAGAGCTATAATTTGAGAAGCAGATAATGTAGGAAAAAAAATCAATGTATGAAATAAAATTAGGTTGTGCAACACTATTGCTGAACATTGGAACAGTTGCACAACTTCTGTATCCTTTGGCTTGCCCTGTTTTATACATGAAACCAAATTATTATACTGGTTTTCAAACTTTGAAAAAACCTTTTCAATCTTCGTGCAATTGGGAGTAAAACTTGAACTGAAAATGAGTATGGCATTGTGTCAGTTCTTTCATTTCTCCCTGGAGTCAAAATCACTTTCATCCAGCTCATTAGGACATTGCATAGAGTAATCGAGTAAAAATTTGCTGTTGTTTGAAATCTTTTTCAGGCATTCGGCATCTCTGTAACTACTTGTGTGGTTCCTCTCTGGCAGCTGAGTGGATTTTACGTTTTCATTCCTGCCAGCCTGTTTCCTCCTGCCTCTGCAAAAAGCGATTGCCTGCAGCAGTGTCTGTTGCTGCGCTTACTGCTCTGCTCTGCCCAGGGAAATGAAGCAGGATCTTTGAATGTGTGAGGTCTACATTTCGTCAAGAGCTGCAGTAAATATTGCTCCATAGTTAATATTAGTCTTGTTTTGACAGATCAGTAAGTTGTAAGCTGGCCTTTATTAAGTAAATAAAGCAAAAGTCTAGAAATACACAAGTACTGTTCACCTGAACAAGATATTACAGGTAAATTTTCAGCACTGGTGTATTTCCTTTCATTACTGGTTTCTGTCAAGAACTGAAACTAGAGAACCCAAGAAAAGGGTAACAACAGTATTCAGAGCCAGGATCCTCCTCACGTAGCCTGCAGCAAAAAGCAAGATGTTTAGATGTCTGATAGCTCCTCAGCGGTTCTCAGCTACACCTTCTACATGGTTAACACTCTTAGTTTGAAATTGCAGGGTGTTATCAGGACAAGTTTATTTCTCAAGCACCGAGAGGTTTCCAAAGTCACCGCTGTATTCATCAAAGTATTTTAGCACCCATTTATTTTCCTCTTTTACCTTCTCTGGTGATAAAAACAAGCAGGAAATAAGTTTTGTTTATTCATGTTCAATCTGTACCATGGGGGTAGCTGGCTTCTCTGTTTTGATTTTTCTCTCCAACAGAGCTGATTTGCATAGCGTGATTGACCTTGTTTTTCCCTCTGGCAGGGCAGTATCACGTGCTGTTGATTTTTGAAAACACGTCAGTCCTCCAAGTGCTGCTGAAGGGCAACATCCACGCACCCTTAAAGCCTTTAGAGTCTCAGCTAAAAGACAAGCCAAGTCAGCACAGAGACCTGCAGGCAGTGAAACACAATTCAGTGTTGTCAACTCTCAGAGTTCCCATCATTTTAACACAATTTGGTATCTTCTGTCCCAGTTCCAGGAACCAGGATGTAGAACCCAACTTCCTACTTAAATGCTTTGCTCATAATATTGCCTGGGAAAACTTCAAGGTTTTGCAGAAAATAAAATATGTTTATTGTCCTTAATATACTTGTTATTTACCAAAATGTTTTTATCAAATGTGAAGCTGACAACAGAAGCAGTAAGTGTCAGGCTTTGGACAGAACTGTGGGTTATGCTTTAATTTTCTGCTACCTTCCCTGTACACTGTGGGGATGCCATTTATGGTTGGTAATGGGGGAGTGCCATTAAAATCTTGGAACTGTTTTTACAGCCCTGCATAGGAAGTACAGCTGAAACAAGTTTTGTCTGGGTATGGGTATTTGTGTGCATGGGTTATCTGGTGGTGGTTGCTTGTTTCAAGTAGACCCCCAGGAACACAAAGTCTTGGGTGAGTTCAGAGGCAAAATATCTGGTGCAGGGACTCTATGTGAAAAAGGCAGTACCTTGAACATGGCATTCTGCGTTTTCTGTCAATCTCAGAGCTTCCAGGCCTTGAGCTATGATTCCTGTCTCCTATGCTTTTAAACTGCTCAGTCCTGACTCTTAAAAATATTGTTCTTTGATTACACAAGCATTC